GAACACGTCACCATTTTTCTCAGTAAATAATTACTAGAGGTAATAATGACATGAAATTTTCACCAGATGTCGGTAACAACCCAAGTGATCCATACATACAAAGAAATCAAACCATAAATGTCCAGAAATGAAGNGCTGCAGGATTTCTCAAACATGCATGAATGAGTCAGCGCAAGACTTTGGGCATGTTTTTTTTATGAGAGTATAACATTATAACACGAAATAAAACTCAAAGTTGATTTTACATAATATTGCCCCTTTAAACACCACTAATTTAAATTAAATGTGGGAATCAAGTGCAGGAATTGCCTACTGGATTGACCAAATAAATACTTAGCACAAAAAAAACAAAAAGAAATTTGTGTTTGGTAGATTATTTCTTTGTTGTAACAATGCTTCTTGATGTTAAAGCTTATACTGTGTGAAAGCCTGTTAATGTCCCTTTTTAAACGGTGCCACATTTGTAAGGAAAATGCATTTGTGGGATGAGCAGTAGAGCTGAGTATGAGGGTTGCACGCCTGAAAAAAATTGCCAAATTTTCCTTGGATATCTGGTGGAGTGTCGGTGAAAACTGAAAACTTGTATCATGTGTCCAGTGAGTAAAGGTTTGCAGCTAGAGACTAGATTATTATTATTATTATTATTTTGCTTCAGAACAAAAAAATGACGGCCGTCCTGATTCTTCTGGACTTCAATCTGATGTTAACTGAAGATTATTATTGTTTGAATTTATACTTGAGGAAAAAGAGGCAGATATCATTAGATTTTTTTCTTCTCTCTGCCGCCTTTCATTTCATTTTATTTGTATTTTCTTTTTATTGTACATAGGTTTATTTTTGTTTTTTTAAAGAAGTGAATAAAGTTTGAAATAAAAATGAATAAATAAATCTGCCCACCAGCTTGGAGTCTCATTAACTGACACTCGCTGTGTTTAGATCACAGAGCAACATTTTACAGATTTTATCCCACTTTTTAATGGATGTGACCGCATTAGCTGAGGTTCACTATTGTTGCTTTTTGTTTCGGCTGCTCTCTTCTGCAGGGGTCGCCACAGCAAGTGAACTCACATGAAAAAATGTGACATTTGGTTTTATGCTGGATGCAACCTGTGCTCAAACCTGCAGCTTCAGGATTATAAGTCGGCAGCACTGACTGAGATTTTGGGGTTGTTTTGGAAATAGTTGTAGCTTGACCTTCATAGTTTTCCTCCCGTTTTCTCTGGAACTTWATTGTCTCAAATATTTGCTGTTACACTGTCTGCTCACATTCGTATATCACCCTTTTACCTCGCCGCCTTTAACCTCCGTCTCGTTCACTCCTGTTTCCCAGGATGCTGGTTTTAGCTGATTAGAGTGGCTCTGTTTGCTTTGATTAATTGGATGAGTGTTGTGTCAGTGCCAGTCTCCTCTCCTCTTGTCTCTGTTCCTCATCCTGAAGCAGCTAAATCAAACCAACACAGTTGTTAATAAAAGCAGTGCATTCATGATGGGAGCTAACTAAAACTGTGGCTGTCTCAACAGTAAAGTACAGAATAATAATCTGTAAAATAATATTACCACCTTATAAATCCACTGTCATGATACCATATGACTATTTATATGAAAGTTTAGGTCAAAGACCTACAGTATCTACAACAGGTGAGATATTGCCTTTTCATAGAACTCAACTTCAAGACATTGATCTTTTTAAATGATACAGAAGTGTGGATTATAAATTGTTTCTTCTCTCACCTCAGCTGCTTTGTGTTTGGTGAGATMAATTCATTAGAACCTTTTATTTGCATCGATTTGGTGTGGGATGATGCGTCTCATTTATCTTTTTGGCTGCTCTCTCCTGAACTGAAATCTTAGAGCCATCGTTGCTCCGCTCACCCTCTCAACCTCCCCGATGTTTTAAATTGTCCTTCAGGCTTCAGGCAGAAAAACAACCTCCTCCATGTCCACGGCCCTCTCTCCCCGCTCATTTGTCTCGACCCTCTTCTTCCCTGCACTTTACTTTTCCTCCTCCTTCCTTCCTTTGTCTCCCCTCCCTGCCTCTCCACTGGTCTTTTAAGAGAATTTCCTTCAAAAGTTCATCTGTGAAAGGTCTCCCGGTGCCTCTTAAGACCCCTTTGGCTTTTTAATCTTTCTTTTTCTTGCTCTATTTTCTGACATTTTTTTCTCCTCTTTTGTTTTTTGTTCAGTGTTCTCTGCCTCTAGCATAGCCACGTTGGAATAGGCACACACACACTCACACATACACACACTGAAAATCACACAGGGGGAAAAAAACTTACCCTGTCACAATCAAGTGAAAGGTTGACTGGGAAAGTCAAATGCTCTGTTATTTTACCCAGGCTAAATACAAACTGTGGAGATGCAGTGCCAACCAGAGAGCCCTGGGGGATGCTGGGGCTTTCTGAGAAATCACACAGACTAACTGCTATTCCCTCCATCCCTCCTTCCTTCATTACAGCCCATTTTTATCTGCAGTCCAAAAGCTTGAGAGCTTTAGAAGCTGTGTTCACTTTGTGTCTGGACTGAGATACAGCGTGTATATTTAAAAACTAAAATCTCTACCTTGTTTTTCAGTATTAAGTTACTATTATCTTAGTTTACAGCTCCAAGAAAATGCTTGGATAGACCGTTGTGGCAGTAACAGGTACAGGTCAAAGGTGAAGCATTCTAAAAGGCATCTTATAATTACTTTACTAAAGGCTGCAGCAGCCGTTCTTGTATTTGATTCTGGTCCCTTTGGACGYTGGAATAAACTACAGCTGAAAGCCTGATGAACTTTCTCCTAAGAGCAAATCCATTTCGAAGCAACKCATTAATCATGCTGCCGTGGTGAGCTAAGTGATTGAGTTTTGGGCGAGTAAGCTGGAGAAGGAGACCTGACCCAGCCGGCCTGGTTCATCTTCACCTAATGAGGCCTAATAAGTTGAGCAGCAAGGACATGCCTTTACATTTGACTTGCATTAGGATGAATGGAGGGGTTGGACTTCCCTTTCCTGTCCGTGACAAGAATTCAGGACATGTAGGGATCTCACCATATCGTGTACTTCTTGCCTCTCTATCCACCTTATTTTTCATGGAGGTACAGACACAGTCAGTTGTCCTTTTTTTGTGTGAGACTTCTGGTTTCTGGCTTGCTAACTAACCTTTCACCATATTTTCTATTTTTATAGTTAGTATGTTATAGCACTGAACAGGCAATTTATTAGCATKCCTGCCATAAGATCTTTGCTGCATGACTGCAGGACTTCCCCTGACCCACAACACGGTTGATGTAATGAGGATCTATTCAGAGTGGCTTGGTTGGACATCAGCCTTCATGAATACCAGTTCATCAATATTGTTAGTAATTAATATCTTGTCAACTGTGGAGGTACTGATACGCCTCTGTACTTTTGTAATTGTGCACTGTAGACCCGTCCGAACCAAGTGACAACACTATAGTTAAAAATGTCCTAAATGTCCTCGAACATTACATGAATCAATGCCTTATCAATGTATCATTTGATTCAGTTGTCTAAAATATTATCCTAAAAAATTTTTTTGAAGCATTTTTTTAGCAGTAGCAAAGAAAAACTTAATTTTGAGGAAAAACGCCTTAAAATTTCGAATTTTTCCCTGTGAGTTAGCAATGTTTTTGTTTCTTTCCAACTGGGAAATTTTTATATACAAATACGACACCTCAAAAATGAGGTTTCCTCTTTATATTGACATCAAAACTTACTCAATAAATTTACATAAATTTAGGATTCAGACCAAACAGTAATCTATCATCATAACCAACAAGACAAATTAGGTCATACCTCTGGATAGGGTTGTGATATCAGAATGATCCACTGAAAATGTAGKTTTTAAAGCCAGGAAATTGACAACGTAATTAGGTCATTTTGACCAAATTTGACTTACTGTATTTATTCAAGTATAATACATAAATTAAATCCATAAAATCATCCATAAAGTTGGGGGGTAGTACTATAATCGGAAAAATATTTTTACTTATGTATTTTAACTGAAATATCGGCTTCTTTCACAAAATTATTGAGTCCGGAAATGACACCGCGTCATAAAAAACAGTTGAAACAAGCTTACCCCTGACACTCCTCCGTGCTTCAGAGTGAGAAAATAACAGATCCAGGCAGGCAACATGATGTGAAAAAAAAGTGGGAAAAAAGTATTCCTGCACCTTAGTAATGATAGTGAACTAATGACATTAGCGTGTGACCGAGCCGCTCCTGGAACAACAACAAACACATGTTCGTCTGTAATGGCTGCCGTCTACCGGTGTTCTGAAAAAGTTTGTATCCCTGAAAAAAATGTTTCCCCACCAGAGTAGGGCTCACGAGTAGGAAGTAATCTGCTTTTCCCCCAGAAGATGGCCCAAATCTCATGTGAAGTCTCTGACTTTTGTGTTGGCGCCTCCTGGTGGACTATGTGTAAAATGCCAGAATTCATATGATGCTGCTACAGCTGATAAATATTTGTTGTCAGAATACATTTTAGTGCATATGTTGTTAAAATAAAAGTAACAATCCAATTATTATTTTACTGATATGTATAAAGACTGCAAAGGCTGAAAAATCTTGAAGTCTGTATGAAATTGGAGGTAGTTTGAGGATTAAATTTTTTATGCTTTTTAAGCTCAAAAAAGGCGGGGTTGTATTATACATGAGATCGTATTATACATGAATAAATACGGTAATCCCCATTTTGATATGATGGGTCACATTTTTTCATACCATCCTTCCACTGGAGAATAGTTTAAGGGGCTGGCACTGACTTGCCACCTCGATTGTTCAGCGATTTTTGGAAATGTTCCCACGACACCAGTTCAGTRAAGCTGCTATTAGTTTGCCAAGGGAAGCTGTGAAACGGAAGTGCTGCACAAACAAACAGAAGTTGGACCCATAATKCTTCCGCGTTCAAAAATAAGGTGGATACTTGCTGTAATGTATTGTGCCATTTCTCCGGTGTTTTCACTAACTACCATCTRTGTGTGTCTCTTCCAGGGTGTGAGCCCTGTGCAGGGTGATGATGAGCACTCAGGGCAGCAGCAGCCGAAAAGGAAGTGGCCAGCATGCTGCCACTCCGCCCCTGCGCCACCCGTCTGGACCCAAGCTGCAAGTACAGCGTTCCCGCTCTCGAGACACCATCACCATACATTTCTCRGCTCTGGGGAAGGAGGAGGAAGATGATGACGAGGAGCTCTATGGGGTGGCTGTGGGGTCTGCTTCTCCTAAAACTGTTCTTGATGGCGTAGGGGGGCTTCAAGTTCAAGCAACAGGGAGTGATGACCAATATGTCGCCAAAGGCTTGGAGGCCAAAGAGGAGCTGCTGTTTGAATCTTCTGATGTGGAAACTGCTTCTGGAGCTGCTGTACTTCCTGTTTCATCTACCACCCTGCCTGCGCAGCCATCAGACTCCTACGTACAGACACCGTCCCACGCTGTGTCGATTGCCTCTCTCTCCGCCCACTCCCATTTAAGCTCCACCCCTCCCACTAGCTCCTCCTGGCCCTCTGATCGACCAGCACAGCCACCAGCCACAAGTTCCAGCTCCTCATCCCCCTGCAAGTCTGGCTCACTGTCATCCTCCAAACCTTTCCTCAGCCTCGTGAGGTCTTTGTCAAACGACGTCGACTCTCGAGAAGCTGCTCCCGTGGCCACCACCGTCGTACCGTCGCACGCGCGACACAGGCACTTAATGAAATCGTTTGTGAAGTCTCTGTCCACGGACACTTCGCGGGCCGAACACCAGGAGGGCCCGCTTCATCACCACCCTCAACATCAACAAGTCCAGCCGTCTCATCGGACTCCGCCTCGCAACATGCAGCTCTTCAAGCAGTTCTCCCAGCCCCGGTTATCTTCCTGCCCGGTCGCAGTCACTCAGGCAGGGGGAGACTCCAAAACAGCCCCGTCCTCCCCCATTATGTCTCCAGACGGGAGGTCCTTCTTCAAAGTCCAAGAGGTMGAGGCCAAGATCGAAGACACCAGGAGGCGATTGTCCGAAGTGATGTCGGACCCCTTGCAGCTTTTTAGTAAGATCATGGGGGACGAGACTGGTGGTGGGGCTGCTGGAAGTGCCGCCCTTCGTCCCAAGTCGCTCTCCTCCAGTGCGTCAGAGCTCAGCGGAGGAGCGGCGGTAAACGGACACATGGAAACCAACAACAACTACAGCATCAAGGAGGAAGGGGCTGAAGGTGACGAAGACGAAGAAACCCCCACAGAAAAGGGTCACGATTCAAGTTTTTTCTCATTCCCGTCACTGTCACTCTCCCAGTCCGTCAATCAAACRTCATCATCCACTCTCTACAAGTCACCATCTCTGACTCTGGGYCGCTGCTCGATGTCGGCCCTCGCCGCTCGGCAGGAAGACGAGGACTTCTGTGAACTGTACAGCGAGGACTTCGAGGTGTGCACCGACACAGAGACTCCAGATGGGGACCGATCCATTTCCCAGCAGCCCCACACCGGCAGCACTGGTTTGTGTAGTGAACTTGATGTAGAGGATGACAGGTTGGAGGAGGAGGTGGAGAATGTGCCTGTGACTGGCCTTGTCTTCTTAACACAGTTGGTGTATTGGTATTTAGTCCTTCCTGTGCCTCCGTGTGTTTGTGCTGTGGTGCARGGGATTGTAGCCGGGTTCATGCTGGCCCTGCTGGTCCTGTGGCTGTCGTCGCCTCGACGTTCCTCTTCAGGGAACAGAATACTGCAGAGGAGGAAAGAGCAGTGCATTTTCTCCCAGGTGGATGTCAAAGAACCAGAAATATTCAAGGTGAGCTGAACTGCAGCCTGTATCGCTTTAATCAGGGCGGTGGGTTATGAAACTTTTGAACACTTACGATGTTTAATTTGGATTTTGTTTCAGGTTGCCTCAGTATTTTTGTAAAATATAATTTTTTTATGGATTGATATTGTTTTTTTTTTTTGTTTGTTTTTTTTGAGGATATCAAGTTCCCTTTGAAGGTTGTTCAGTTGCCATTTCTGGCTCAAAGACCATATTGTTTCCAAATGCGTACTAGATGATTCCTTTTGTTTTTTTTTAAAGATTCTGATGTGTTTTTGTTGCTGCCTCTAAGCTGATGCAGCAGAGAGACTCACGGCTGAAGGGGAGTAGTTTTGCCAGTTGAAGCCTGAGTGTTTCCAGGCTCATTTGTGGAATGAGTTTGGTAACTCCTCAGAGTTTCCAAATATTTTTCCTCTATATTTGTTACAGTGAAGGAGCAGAACTGTGTCTGCACCAGGGTTATTATAGTAAACCAAAACTAACTAAATAACGAAAACTGAAATTGAAAAAACATTTTAGTTAACTGAAATAAATAAAAACTGTAATAAAATGAAAAAACTATAACTAACTAAAACTGTATAATCTTTTTACAAAACTGACTAAAACTAACTGAAATAATAGATAAAATATCTTTTAGTTTTAATGTTTGGCAATTCATTGTGAGCCATGTGGATTGATTAAACTAATCTTTTGTTTTCTTCAAATTGAGCAGTTTCATATTAACTGTGAGCTTACGGCACATCATGGTCCGTAATGTCACCTGTTTACAGTCTGCTGCTGCTCAGCGCTCCCCTGCAAAATGACAACAACAAAAGTTGGGAGAAAGTAGTCCGATTTGGGATTTCTTTGAATATGACTGTGAGAAAATTAAGAGCATCATGTAGTGGAAACAGGTGATAGAATAGGTGGAATACTTCTCAAGGGACTAATTAATGGAGTATCTTGACAAGCTAGCTTCTCTTAGTAGTTCCCCTGAAAAACAAGCCATAGCCCAGCCAGGTAGCACCAAGATCTAGACAACTATTGTCACCTACTTACAACATTTTCCCAAGTCCTTTGTTGGCAAAATTGAGTTACGACAGGTACACAAATCTAAATTTTACATGTGAATTTTTTTTCACAGGTTCACAAATCATATTTTTGCAAGTTACAAATCAAGATTTTGCAGGTTTCGACACATTAATACCTTCATAAAAAAGCTGCTGTTTAGTTAGCTCACAGGAACACTTCAAGCTGAAGGTTGCATTGGCAAATATGTTTATTCAAACTACAAAAAAAATAGTACTAGAACTAATAAAAACTAAACTAAAACTAACCATTAAAAAGCAATAATAGGTAATAAAAACTATCAAATCCATGCTAAAAACTAATTAAAACTAACTGAATTAAAAGAAAAAAAATGTCACAACTAAATAAAACTAAACCATAATGAAAAATCCAAAACTATTATTACCTTGGTCTGCACAGGGTCCAAAGAATCCCAAAGAACAAATCCACTGAAGGGACAGGCTGTTCTGCCGCCCTGCAAATGCCACGAAGCACCAGCTGCCACACCAGACGACTGAATTTGCAAAAACAAGAATTTGTGTCTTCTGATTTTGTGATTGTTTTTTCCCATTCCAAACTGATAATTGTCATGAAAGTTATATTTGCGAGGAGCATAAAGCAGAACGGAAATGATCTGATTTGCATAACTTTAATAAAATCTTACAGTCTGTAAAAATAGTTGTATGAGACGAGTTTAAAATCATTAGAGTTCAATCAATATTGTAAGATTGCGAGGCAACCCTAGAACAGAAACAAGCACAGTTTACTACCTTCATCTGTGTCACTGAACTAAGCGACGTCTCCTCTTCCTCCCCACATCTCTCAGGGCTGGATGAACGAGATCCACAGCTACGACCCGGAGATGTACCACGCCACCCTGACCCACTCTGTGTACGTCCGCTTAGAGGGCTCTGTTGTGCGTCTGTCCAAGCCCAACCGGAACATCTCCCGCCGCGCCGCACACAACGAGTCTAAACCTGACGTCACGTACATCAGCCAGAAGATCTACGATCTGACCGACAGCAGGGTGAGGCGTGGCAGAAGCTTGTTGCTTTGAAAAGACGGTTTTTTATTCTTGTGAAACTCCAGTCTGTGTGTAAAACAAGATGAGCTCATTCTGTGTTACCCGTGTATTTCTGTGCTTAATGATAAACTGAATAATGACATCAAACTCATCTCTTCGTATTAGTTTTGAACTGTTATCATGCAGTAGTTTTATTATAATCAGGGTTCCCACGGGTCCTTGAAATCCTTGAAAGTTTYTGAATTTGAAAAAATTGTTTCAGGGCCCTAGAAAGTTTTTGAAAACGGAAAAATTACACTTGTCCTTGAAATTTCACAAAAACAGCACATGAATTGTGTGTGCCATCTTCTCACATGTGAATTTGTGAATTACATTATTACATATCCGTGTATTGTGGAAACAAATATAGGGTGTACATTTAATCCTCTTTCTTTRGTTGATTCTGACTCAACAACTTCTATGCTGTTCACGTTTTCATTGTATTTACATATTAAAACTGTTTATTGGTGACATTCTGCGGTAGCAGTAGGAAGTTGCCGTTGCGCGTGGTTCTTGAAATTGAGGAAATTGGGACTGAAAAGTCTTTGAATGGTCCTTGAATTTGATGTTGACCAAGGTGTGGGAATTAATTAAACTCATCAAAGAGCTATACAGCTCTACTTCTTTGTGGATGTTCTGGTAAATATTACCTACACAAACACTGCTGGCCTGCAGGTGTCAGATTTCAAAATAAAAGTGCATTACCATCATTTGTGGCAGCTTGACATTAAAAGTATAAACAAAATTTTATGTAGTCATTCCAGAAAGACTAATGGTGAATTCAGACTGCTTTTATTAGTAAGCTTAACTAACTTAATCTTTTAAACACAATAGTAAAATTTCATGAATAAAAAAGGTAGAAAATAGTACATTAAAATACCTCATTTTTAATGTACTATTTTCCACTTTATTGTTCACACTGAACTTCAGGACCTGTGCAACCAGTTTTGTTACCTTTCATGAACATCTGATGTTTGTGTATGAGGGGATGACAAATAAATATCCTTGAATCCTTGAAACACAAGTTCAGCTCAAAGTGATTTACAAGACCAAAGCACAACATGGAAATATCCATCCATCCATCCATCCATCCATCCATCCATCCATCCATCCATCCATCCATCCATCCATTTTCTGTACACGCTTATTCCTTTCAGGGTCGTGTGGGTCACTGGTGCCCATATCCAGCAGTGACAGTGCGAGGGGCGGGGTACACCCTGGACAGGTCGCAAGTCCATCACACAACATGGAAATATCAAAAATTAAAAATCCAAAAAAAAAAAAATGAATAAAAGCAAAATGCTTTATAGACAAAATTAATGGTGCATAGGCAAAGTCCAAAAGCAATTACGGTGCAGGTGAGCGGGGGGCTGTGGCTGAGTGGTTACATGTTACCAGTGTCTCTGGGTAAGGCACTGAACCCCCACTGCCTCTAATGTGGGTCCCATCAGTGTATGAGTGTGATTTAAAGCATTGATTAGTTTCTATAAATTGATTTATCTGGATTAGCTTTGTAGAGACATGTAGTAGAGTGCTGTGTGAATGGGTAAAAGGGGGCACAAATTATAGTGTTAAGCGCTTTGAGTATCCTGGTTAGATAGAACAGCGCTGTATAAGTACAGTCCATTAACCATTTAAAAGTAGATTTAAAAAAAGCACAGAAAACAGGCATTGCAAAACAGATTTGTGACCAAATCCAGGTATTTTAACACTTAAATACAAAAAAGTGTAAAAAATAGAAAGTGAAACTTTTTATTTTATTTTATTGTAATTCATCTATAAAACATAGTGACGGTAGCATCATGATTTGGGCCGGCTCCGCTGCATTTTGATTAGCTTGTCGTTAACTGAACAAGAAGTTATGAAGTATTTTTCATACTTTAAAAGAAAATATGATTAAATTTATTCATGACGTTCAATTTTAAAGGTCACGAAGCAGGACAAGCTAAAATTTGATCCTCTTAAAATGTTTAGAGTAAAGTATAAAGAGCAGGTCAAAGGGCTGATTACACACTACTAAAATGTGAAATAAAACCCAAAAGTTTAAGCTTTTTTGTTAAAAATATTGACTAAAATAAAAATGTTTAGTGTGATATATTGATGATATTTATGTTTTCTTTGCTTCTGTTACTGTCAGAATGATCCATGCCGGAAGCTTTTATCTATTGATCCTTTTAACTCGGTTTATTTACCCCACAGATCTACCTGATGCCCCAGAGCTTGGCCAGGAAGAGAGTTTGGAACAAGAAGTATCCCATCTGCATCGAACTGGCCAAGCAGGACGACTTCATGTCGAAGGCCCAGGGAGAAAAGTTCGAACCTGCGGAGGAGAAATCGTCAGGACTGGGTGAGAGGGTGGAGCGAACGGACAAAGCCGACAGGTCTGAAAGCTCGGCGTCGGCGGAGGAACCCAAACGACCAGCCTGTGGAAGAGCGGATCTGACAATCTATTTGTTCGGGAGAACCGGTCGGGAAAAGGAGGAGTGGTTTCACAGATTTCTTCAGGCGTCTCAGATGAAGTTAGAGGGGAGAGTCGGCAGCCTGTCCGCCACTATCTGCAAGAGTGGTGAGTTGTGCACACCGTCACAGCTCCAGGTGCACACTCTTTCTGCTCGCTCTTTTTATGCCTCTTTTTTTTWAAAAAATGTGCCGGGTCAGTATAACTATTCTTTGAAGTAGTGTATAACCATCAGATCTGTGCTTAAGCCTCAGCTTAGGGACTGCCAATCCCCTCAACTGAGTGAACAGTTGAGTGTGAAGGGGTCAGCAGGATTACATGCACAGAGAGGCAGCATATTATAGTACTGGTCTCAACTGGGGGGTATAAGCCTGAGAGGATAAGACTCCTCTGCACAAAAAAGAAACACTGCCAATGTGTGGCTCCAGTGATAAAAGCAGCACAAGGTGGACTGGATCTCTGGCAAGATGGGTTAAATATTAAGCTGCTTAGCAAACACACACAGCAATTATGCTACAYCACATTAAGTGCATCGTGAGAATACAAAGCACTTCAGCTCCCATTCCAAAAAAAGTTACGTCTTTGGAACAAAATGCAATAATMTGTGAATCTCATAAAACCATATTTTATTCATAATGAAACCTAGAACACATAAAATGTTTAGACTAAAAACATTTGTAAAAGGGACATATGGAATATCTATTTTTTATTATTTAAATACATTTTGTTGTGTACTAGGAGCAGAAAGGTTTTATTCTCCTGGTGCTGTGTAGATATCTTGGGCTATATTTGTCAACCCGTTTAGTTTTCTCCATTTTCTATGACGTTTTATGAACTATTACGTCACATTATTTGTGACAGAGTCGCTGAATAAGGTCTGGACTTAATTACAGTTTAGTCGTCTTCATTCTCCTCTGGCTCTGGGTCAGACTCRYGCTCCAACATGTAAGTCTGGATGGACAAGTCTTCTGTTGGTGACATCTTTGAATTAATTTGTAAATTTATGGTTTCTGTGCTGCTATATAGTCTTAAACCCCTCTGTGAAACTAGAAAGAACCAGTTTGGAAGCTGGAGGGTGGTGGGCTGTGAAACACCTCATCTGGATTTAAAGAGACAGCCTCAAAATGAGTTAATCTGAGACACACCTCAGAAAAGAACTGAATGAGGGGCTTGTGGAGTTACAATAAGGAGGAATTCAGACCAAAGCWTTGCAGTTTCACTTTATAAAGACCCCAACTGAATGATTTAAATGAGAAAAAGAAGGTTTTAAAAGCACATGTCTCCTTTAAATAAAGATTATTTTAAACTCGTGAAATCAGCATATCTTAAAGTGGAGGCAAGGTCGTGTTTCTGATTGATTTGGGGTTTTGATTATCTGAGAATTTCTAAAATCGTAAGCATGCGTCATGTTCATGCATTATTTGTACGACCCCATCTGATCTCTTCACGTCCTGCGTTTCCCACCTCTTCTTCCAGCCTTCTTGCCCTCTCACAGCCGCAGTGGCAGCGCCCCGTCTGCTGGAGGCCTGGAGGCTGACAGCAGGAGCAGCAGCAGGGGAAGCCAGGAGGAGCTGTCTCAGCTCCGGCACAAAGAGGCCTCCGCTCCCCTCTCCTGTGCCGCTGCTGGAGGGATGAAGCAGAAGATGCTGTTGGACTATAACATCTACATGGCCAAATATGTTAACCCTCAGGCGGCGCCGGGAAGCCCGGGTGGCGCCGACAGCCCAGAGCACAGCCCCGAGAGCAGCCCCAAAACYACCAAAAAGGTACGAGACACATGAATTATCCATTCAGCATCCCTTCATCTTCACCACCCTCTCTGCTTTCTGGGTTAGCTAACACAAAGAGGTGGAGTTACTGGATTATTGTAATTTGCCTGCCTACAGTTGTCAGGCCTCGTCTGCTAATGACTTTGATGTCTTCATCAAAAAGAGGCAGACAGGTCTGTGTAAATTACAGACCTGTCTGCTAACATGATGCCTCATGCATACGGATTGGGCTTGACTGGGGTCCTCTATCACCATGGTAACAAAAACTACAGGTATGAGGTACCTGCGGTTTGTTTGTATATTTTAAACCAAGAAGTTCACACTGACACTTTGATGCTGTTAACAGACTGCAGCAGGTGATCAGCAGTGTTCCTACGAACAGAAGGCACTTCCTGTGATCATATAAAAAAAGGATTTTTTTATACTTAAGATTAGACACAGTGGTTTTTGATCTAATCAACACACACTATAACTCAGAGATGGGGACTCGTGACTCGGACTTGGACTTGAGTTGCACTTAAGTCCTTACTATTAGAGCAGGGGTGGGCAATCCTGGTCCTCGAGGACCGCAGCCCTACAGGTTTTATGTTTTTCCCTGCTCCAACACACCTGATTCAGACATTAAATTACCTCTTCCAAGTTCAACAGTATGGAGGACCCAAACTGACATAACAAGAAAAAAAGCAGAAATATATAAATGGACCAATAAATAAATTCAATTAAAAATGTGCCAATTGAATTAAAAAGCAGAGCTTTTCCTCACGTTTTGTAATTTAATTGACCTTCATATTTATTTTTCCTGTATTTCAGGGGTGCAACAATACATGTACCCACGAACAGTGCTTTAAGTTCAATACACACTTGTATCGAACAATACAGATTTTTAAAATTTACTTTATCAACTTGTCTTCTGAAGATGCTCTGTGTTAAAGGATCAGTGGATCTGTGTTCGACTACTCCACATAGGCTGCAGTTTTGAGCGCAGATCCACTGAGAAACTTGCTGTTTCAGCGACATTTAATTTAAAAGCTGTACTTTTAAGGTTAAACAAATGTTCATAATTAATTTAAATAAATTACAAGTTAAAAGGGGCATGGAAATTTCTCTTTTTTGTATCAAAAAAATATCGAACCGTGAGACTAAAGTATCGAACCGAACCGCATCGTGAATTTTCTGTATCGTTGCACCCCTAATATATATACAGTATATATATA